CATCTGCTTTTCTACTTTTATCACACTGATCAATGCATCAGCGATCCACTTAGTGTTACGATGCCTCAAGTTGTGTGCACAGCAGACGTCAAAGGCATTCTTCATGGCACACTTGAGACGATCCCAGTCTGCGTTCTACTCGTCAACATCATACATCACTGACAATTGATGGGCCAGTTCGTTATGATGTTGATGAGTTGTAGACTGCAAGTTCATGTTACAGGTAAGGTTGGAAGATGGGCCCCAGCCCGTAGCCTTAAGAATCGCAATTCTGCCTTGTGATCGGTGGGCGTGGGTTCGGGCCTGCGAAGGGACCGGGCGGCACTCACAGTATTCTTAGCCCACGTGCGACTGGTTTTGGTTGCGTGGCAGCGAAGCGTCGGTATTGCGTACCGGCGTATTGCCGATGCATAGAAGATAGGCGCGGGTGCTCCAAAACCCGAAAATCAACCGCTGTGTCAAGCACTGCTCGCTTAGCTCAATGACTTAGTGATCATGGCGATAGCCACCAAGCACTATGCGCCGAGTTCCACTTCCAGCTCGGCTATCTCTACCTGATTAGTTTAAACAAAAACGCATCCGTCGGTCGTGGAGTGCAAGGATTGGAGAGAGCCACACCGAAACCCTCCAAGATAGGCGCTTCCTTGAAGCGGGAAGAGTGAGCGTCAGGCGTGCGCTCACCAGAGCTTGGTCGGAATTCATTCACCTGCTCCGAATTGACCAACAGTCTTGAACTAATGTGCACCGTCTGGCAATACGGTCAATTTGGGTCCGAACCGTTGACGTATTCGGTGTGTGCCAAGTGACACGCTGCAAATATTTATGCTGGAGAGCAGTGTTGCTAAGATAGTTATGGTCGGTGCACAGTTGCAGGAATCGATCACCATTGTCTGTTTGGTGTGTACTGACTCCGAAGCGGCCGCCTGGATGTTGTACAGAAGCTGAAAGAGGACCCATTTGGGCATTCAGGTCACCAGCATCAATCCCGATGTCAGTGTTTTTCGTCGTGCGGAGAAGAGTTGGTAGCTGTCGATAGAAATCGTCTTTGATACTCCCTGAACTGCAGTCAGTAGGGGCATAAACGGAGGCGATGAGAAGACGCCTTGACTTCAGACGGTGCTTATTAACCCCAATAGATGTTTGAAATTGAACCACACAAATGCGACTATTCACCGGCATCCAGTCGATTAAACTGACTTTAGCATGTTTTCTGAGGGAGATACCAACACCGTTAATGCCTTGAGCCATTGACTCAGTATCGCCAGAGACGCGAAGAGAGACGGAGTCGAAGATTCGTCATAACGCTGTGTTCTTGTACGCGTGTTCCGGAGTCACAGTACATATAAATATCACGAAAACGAAGAGTGGGAGTTAGTGCTGCCTGTTGGCTGATCTGATCCAGAATGCGGATGTTAACAGAAGCAATGTGAAACGGGACTCTAGGTTTGATGGAAGAGTCACATGTATCGATGGCAGTAGCTGTGAGGTCATCATCCTCTTCCATACACGTTAGGCGATGATGTGAAACACACCTCAGCTAATGTGCGCAATACAAAAAGTAAAACATTAAACATTGTAGACTTAAAAGCTATATAACGATCAAAAATGTGATATTAGCGTTATGCTAACGCTAATATCACCTTTTTGATCATTGTTGGAGAATGAAGCTGAAGGAATGGGGAGGGACACAGAGACTCACAACACAAACGCCACTGAGGTCGACTCTTCGCCATGTTGGCAAACGTATCCAACCAAACGTGTTCATCTTCCTTAGGACCCCAGCAAAGCAGTTGGGGAACAGCTACTGATACCAACTTCGAACTGAGGGACTTCACTCCTCTCGACCAAGTCATCGCTTGGCCTCTCCTCTCCGTCCATCCACACTCCCGGCGCGCAAACAACGCACGTCGCGCGAGCCGGTGTGCTGGCATGCGCAACACGTGGCCCAGCCATCGAAGCCTGGTGCATGGTATAACGGTGCTGAGCGTTTCACTCGCTCTTCCTGCACCGAATGCGCGACGTCCAACACGTTCAGTGCTCACGCGGTGCTCCCACCAGACATGAGCTGTGAGGTCAGCGGCAGTCTCTCGCTCAATAGACAGGGAAGAAGCGAGTTGATTGGGGGAGTGAGACAAACTGAAGGGGGAGTATTGTCGTCACCATATCTGTGGGATCTCTTATCTCATGTCTGCAAGTCTATTGTTTTCATAGCTTAACCTCTAGGTAAGTCAGAATTCTACACGACAACCACCTTATCATTTCGATCTCCAAGGCATATTGTGTCCTGTTCGCTAAGGCGATCGCGAACTGGAATGAAGCTGACTTCGTTGATCCCCTCCATTGTCATTGTCTTGCTTGTTGTTGGTGTGCTTCGAACGACCGATGCATTCATTGTGACATTTAGACTTGACGTAAGATACTCACGCCCCCTCGACGACATTACAACCGGTGCACGCTTGAGTGCCGATGAAAATCTTTGTCTCATTTTTCTCCTCATTTCAATGCACCAGTTTGTTACACCGGATGACCACTTCCGTGATATTTGTTCCCTATAGCCCGGATGCTACACGATTAGATGCAATTGGAGAAAAAAAGCTTTCTTGCATTTCTGAACTATGTAGAGCGCATTGTGAACTCCGCCATTGCTATTGGATGATTGATGTTGCGCAGTTCGCGTTGGTCTACGATGATCGAGAATTGAAAACGGAAACTGCCGACCGATGCATACACTGTACAAGCAGAGCCGACCCCCAAATTGTGGCTTTTTCCGTTAAGTTCGTGTTTTATGTTTGCAAAACACCGACCATGCCTCTCTACATCTGAAACGAAGATTTCGATGGGATCGGTTGTGTCTTGGGAAAATGCGAATTCTCTTGTATCTCTCTCTGGGAAGCGAAAATGTCTAAGCGGCTATCGAAAATCATGTACTATTTTTGAACTGTTTGTTCTCTGCATGAACTTCAAACGCCAGCTTATTGAAGCGGCTTTTCACTGGTTGCAGTTGTGTCCTATGTACTGTCCGTCCGCCTTGGCGGTCCAGCTACAGCTGTCCTATCTGGGTTCTCACGTTGGCGTTGGTTCACACTAGGTTGCCTCACTTATCCGCAATTCGTCTTTCCTGTACTGTTGTAGTTGTCACGCGGTATTTGATTCGCTTCCTATTCATCGAATCTGGTCACTCAGTCGACAAACCACAAACATCCAATGTGTTGTCAGTATGGCTCCCCTGTCCTATCGAGTAACACTTTCCCGACAAGATTGAATAATAAAACAAGCGTCTCATCATCCTCGTTAGTATACAAAAGCAATATCACAACTGCATGGGCTAATTTTAGGTACGATTGTGTGATATTTCAGCAGCCGAGACTGGGTAATGGATCTACATGTCAACTCCATGGAATTACCATGTTAGAACAGAGGAACCATACACCTGTTATCAGTCAAGACTCGTTAGCGTTATTTGAGCTGATCTGATTCTACTTGTCTGCACCACACTGTGCATTGTTCGTGCTAAACCGAGTCAATTATGTCTTGCACTACCGCGAAATATCAGTGCATTCATTTACAGACAAATGTGGATTTACCTGAGGAGCAGCTGAAACTGGCAAGCTGTTTACTATTACGCACGGGAGATGCCACCTCGATTGGTCGAAAAGTTCTTTCAGCTAAATTGCCCAACTCGGCGAGCAAATCAACATCATGCTCGTGCGATAGTGGTTGTTTAACGTGCGCGGCACTTGATTGCCTTCCTGTCTGCCTGTACCGTGTTGGCTCTATCTACCAGCTATCATCATACTCCGGCAATCTGCATTTACACTACCTGTTTCCGGGCTGGGTCGAACAAATTTCACTTTCGCATTTCCGTTCACTGTCCCAATGCATCGCTACATTGTCAACGCGGTACTTTAGTTTTATCACACTTAGTTGGCTCTGTAGGCAACACACTGTCCTCACTGGCTTCGTAGTCTCCACCTGATTACGTTGATGAAAAATCTTTCGGATGTCTAACTGAACTGTGCTCTCATACTTTCTTTGTATGGGTTCTTTGGGGTCAGTGAACTATTCACTTACAGTTACTAATGCTGACCATTTCCTTGACAAATGTGATGATGTGGCGGGGTGGCTTGCGACTGTGTTCCTCTGATGATTGCTCATCTGTTGCCTTTACCATTGTGCGATGGATGGCTTTAGGTTTAGAGACGCGAATGGTTCCTGGCCTACACCCGATTCGTATGTCTGCGAGTGTCATGTTTGCTTGCCGTTGGCAACAGTTCCTCATATCCACTACTCATCTGCTTACTGAATCTGAACATTCTTGACTCGTCAGCGACGAATTTGGCTACCATGCTTCTACAATTTTGCTCACACTTCAGAGTTTCCACAGCCTCTTCTTTGAGTCTATGTGCATTCCTCAATTCCATAGCCTCGGATATCAGAACCCATTTGACGGCCGATGAGTATTTTGGTTGAGTATTTCGGTTGCTTATTGCTGATTACCATTCTGCAGTCTTTATACGTAAACTTTCTCTCTACAGCTCTTTCCTGTAGGATCAGTTGGGTCATAGCTTTTCGGCCAACCTGAGGTGCATCGTACCTTTGATAGGTTGAAGCATGTAGTTTCACATGGGGCTCTATACCACTGGAAGTACGGATGATAGGTCGAACTCTAGCCATCATTTTAGCTGACTACTGACTTGGTTCTTCTAGTTGCACCACACATCAGAGGTGATCTTAACATTTCGCTGTAGAAATTTTGCACTCAGACGGGGTTAGAAGCCACCATTGTGTACTTTCCATAGCACTATCCTTGAAGCTGCTGGTTTCAGTCTACGCTTGTGTGGTAGCATGCCCTACACCGTTTCGGAATCAAACTTGCGTAGGAGTAAGCAGTATCTACAGAAATTGATCACGTTCATCTGTTAAACACTGCATCACTCCATTCGAATTGTATTTCTTACCCGTCTTGTTGAACTTTCCACTCCTATTTGGCATTTTCTCAGGCTACTTCTCTCAGCGTGGTCTGTGTTCAAACATCCTCGGAGCTTTCTCACCAATTTTCAACTTACACCAACTGTGGTATTCCGAACGCCCCCTGATTGTCGATCCGGAAGGCAAATTTGTCCAGTACCCGTTGAGCTGCTTAGATGGCACTCGCTTCCTCACCATGTGCTGGATCATCTTCGGCCATTGCGTTGTGTTCATCTTCCACCTTTCAAGTGAGTGGCACCACATTCTTGTGCATAGGAACATTCTTACTCATCAAATCCTGTGCTCCTTCACAAATCCTACGGCTCTATCTGTGTGTCGTCGCCATCCCTAGGAAGCATACTGGACTATTGTCTTCTTATATCCCTATTATCTTCTCATCACTTATCTTATCTTCGTTCTACTGGCCGCCTGTACATTCTAATGCGCTGTACGCGGGGATTATTAGTCTTTCTGTGTACTTGCGACTCTTGCTCCAAACCCATTGCCTCATGGTGTGACTGCAGTTTTTGTAAAGCCTCGGTAGCACCCTGACCATCTACGACACTAAGAAATTACGTCGCACCGAATAATGTGATGTGAAACCACTAGCACCAGTGTTCAGTAAGTCAAACACATATCCCTCATTACGAGCGTGCTCCAGATTCGATGGAACACGATCTTCCATCGAGATCAATCCTCGGGGACAGCGGATGCGCACAACTCGATGACCGCGCGTGAATCAGATACGCATCGATGCAGTAGTTCAACTGTCGCGAGTCGCGCATTTTCTTCGGTCCCGTACAGGCCACCAGTGCGAGACCAGTCGATGGACGCACTGGAGAAAACAAGCCCGTCTGAATCAGCCATTCGCGGAGACCTCTTCATTTGGCTCTACTGTGTCATACATGCGTATACACAGAGCAAACCGAGAGCAGTTTGCGCGTTTAAGTAAGATTTGTTATCGCGTCCGAAGTGTGGAGGCTTATCACCAGAGAATGCGAAACACAATCACTATGCATCATAACGTGTACAACTAATGGGCGTACAACTATTACCTGCTGAGTTTTGATTGCACACGTGTTCGGTTAAACCCGTGTTATAAAACGATGCCCCTGCATTGTTTGAACTGCGTTTGTGCACGATTACTCAGTACATGTGTGTTGTTTGGGAGCGTTATCCACCTAAAGAACTACTGCCTGTTGTCCATCCTCGATTTTAAGATAATACTAATTAAGGCAGTGTTAGCAATATGGTTACTTTCGTTTAGTACTCTCCATGTGCACCGATCTCCTGTTCAGTCATTGAGACAGTGGGCCCCTTCACCCATTTCGTTAAGGCAGAGAGAAGACAGAGATTGCGATATGTCAACGTTTCGATTGTTCTCTTCAGTCGCAAACACAATACGAGCAGAAACACACAAGGGATTATATATATGGAGAAAATAAGCAACACCAGTCAAATTGTCACATTCAATACCATGGCAACCGAATTGATTGCACATAGCACATAGCACAGGTTGATAGGTCTTAATTAACAACGCCTCACTAATTGCCAGCATTATCTGGTTTTTGTTACGTAATAACACTTTGAACGCTGTCTCGGGGTACACGTGATGACGGGCTGTCATGAGGTGCTTGGTGATGGACGATGCCGGGCTCCGATTGATTCTCAGATTCGTCCCATGTCGTTGTGTAATCACTTGTCCCAACCACTTTGACAAATGTTCAGCTACCCTCTGAGCTACCTGACGGTTTGTTTTGCCTATGTAAATGTCACCGCAACCGCAGGTGAACTGATAAACAACGTGAGAGGCCGAACTACCCGACGAGATTCTCTGACGGTTATGAAGAACAAGTGCTCGCATGGTATGCCTGAGTCGCAACTGGGCTGTCCTGTAGGTTCGCGTTAGGGCGGACCGGAGCTTGCCTCCGATATCATTTGCCAAATGGTCCCCCTTGACTGGCAAGAACAAATAAACATCCTTTTTTTCAGCCGTCAACACCGGTGTTTTCACGCTGGGATGTCTGCTGTGCACCTGAATAAACTTCTCAGCATATCCATTAGAAATTAAGGTTTTGCGTAGAAATTCTTCTTCGGCTTGTAACGTTTCGGGGCTGCAAATACGTCTAGCCCGGTAGAAGAGAGTTCTCACTAAGCCGCGTTTGTATGCGATCGGGGCGAAGCTTGAAAAATGAAGGTACTGTCCAGTCCAAATCGATTTGCGTTAAACAGTGCGCTGCAACGTGCCTTCAGCCCGTCTCCTAATGAGTATGTCCAAAAACGCCAGGCAATTGTGTTGTTCCACTTCATGGGATACCGACAGATTAGGGTGAATCGAATTTAGGATGGTCAGCAGCCCGTTAAAATTCAGGGTTCTCTTGCTGAAACCACCGATACTTCCTTTCCTACTGATTGCTTGAAGCACATATACAATTTTTCCTTTGCTCAGTTCACGCGCACTCAATTTGAAGTTCTCTCGCTTAGAATGAAATACCGATTGCCGCTAAAAGCGCTAGCGGCTCAGTGAACTCACACCAAGATCGACGAAAAATGCGGGTTGGTTTCGGGCGATATTTGTAGATATTGTGAACCAATTCCTGTGTACGCCGATAAGTCAAAGGTGCTGTCTGCAATCTGAACACTATACGGCGATCAAGGAGTTGAAACAAATGAAGCACGTAATGTTCCTGCAGCCGGATAAGGGATCGGGTATTGTAGTGATGAACAGGCTTGACTACATTTCGAAGATGGAGTCCATTCTGTAAGACCCTGGGAAGTTCCAGCTAGATAATACACCGGAAAACCATGTGGCGAGGAAGCTACAGATCCTCCTGCTACATGGTTACATCAGTGAGTCACAGTATAGGCATTTAAAAGCGACCGGGACACAGACACCTAGAATGAGAGGCGCTCCTAAGTTACACAAAGCAGGATTTCCGCTACATCCCATTATGTGCATGAACAATTCACCATATCACAATGTCGCGCGGTGGCTGGCCAGACTATTAGATCCGGTGCATAAATTCCTCGCTACGTATTGCCTGAAAGACTCCTTTGAACTGGCTGAGACGTTGGAACAATTGTCACTGAGTGCAGAGCTTATGTACACAATAGATGTGGACTCCTTATTCACCAATGTGCGTTTACGTGAGACTGTTGATAATTTATGTGATTTTACCCTGAGTCAGAATATGTCTGTTGGTCTGTCAGTGGCGTTCACCGAGAACATACGGTTTGAATTTAAGGGGACCGCATACAAACAGGTCGACGGGGTCTCTCCATGAGCAGCCCTCTGGGACCAGTTTTAGCCGATATCTTCCTCGGCCTGATAGAAACACAAGTTGCTGCCAGCATTGGTGAAGCGAAATTGTACAGACGATATGTGGATGACATTGTAGTCTTCACCAGCGGCGAACATTTTAACCGTCTGCTGCCTATCCTAAATTCTATTCACCCTAATCTGTCGGTATCCCATGAAGTGGAACAACACAATTGCCTGGCGTTTTTGGATATACTCATTAGGAGACGGGCTGAAGGCACGTTGCAGCGCACTGTTTAGCGCAAATCGATTTGGACTGGACAGTACCTTCATTTTTCAAGCATCGCCCCGATCGCATACAAACGCGGCTTAGTGAGAACTCTCTTCTACCGGGCTAGACGTATTTGCAGCCCCGAAACGTTACAAGCCGAAGAAGAATTTCTACGCAAAACCTTAATTTCTAATGGATATCCTGAGAAGTTTATTCAGGTGCACAGCAGACATCCCAGCGTGAAAACACCGGTGTTGACGGCTGAAAAAAAGGATGTTTATTTGTTCTTGCCGGTCAAGGGGGACCATTTGGCAAATGATATCGGAGGCAAGCTCCGGTCCGCCCTAACGCGAACCTACAGGACAGCCCAGTTGCGACTCAGGCATACCATGCGAGCACTTGTTCTTCATAACCGTCAGAGAATCTCGTCGGGTAGTTCGGCCTCTCACGTTGTTTATCAGTTCACCTGCGGTTGCGGTGACATTTACATAGGAAAAACAAACCGTCAGGTAGCTCAGAGGGTAGCTGAACATTTGTCAAAGTGGTTGGGACAAGTGATTACAAAACGATATGGGACGAATCTGAGAATGAATCGGAGCCCGGCATCGTCCATCACCAAGCACCTCATGACAGCCCGTCATCACGTGTACCCCGAGACAGCGTTCAAAGTGTTATTACGTAACAAAAACCAGATAATGCTGGCAATTAGTGAGGCGTTGTTAATTAAGACCTATCAACTTGTGCTATGTGCTATGTGCAATCAATTCGGTTGCCATGGTATTGAATGTGACAATTTGACTGGTGTTGCTTATTTTCTCCATATATATAATCCCTTGTATGTTTCTGCTCGTATTGTGTTTGCGACTGAAGAGAACAATCGAAACGCTGACATATCGCAATCTCTGTCTTCTCTCTGCATTAGTTTTCTTTTTACACACCGGAAGTTTATCCTTGGCAATCCCCTAATTGCGTATCCACCTGCTTGCTTGAAATGAATAATGATATTTGCTGCGAATGTACGCTTATGATCCAAGTCCAATGGGCATGTCAATCCTAGCTTCGTGCGTCTTAGCCAGAGTGGCACCAATTGTAACATTTTATAGCCCTCAGAGTAGTTAGGTTTGGTCGATGAGTTAAATGGAGCCCGTGAGTGATCGCTGCACCTTTTCTAGGCACACGCGATCTCAGTACTCTAGCACAGGGTGTGTAGGCCTTGAACAAGTGCAGTTTAGGTTCACGTATCGAGAATGCTTTAAATGAGTTTTACGCTTCTTCGTGATCTGGCCGTTATGAATTCTACTTGCTCACCACAATTCAGAGTGCTAGAGTACCGGTTACTTAAATCACGTATAGTATTGCTACTGGGGATGGCCATGCAACGTTTTCCCATGCGCCGAATCATATCCCTCAGGGATCACTGAATCGCTGCTGTATGATGCATATGAGCGGCGGCACTACACAGGAGCGTTGACGAAGTGTCGCTGGTTCGTATCGGCTATCAGTTTAGGATTTTTACTACCCGCCCTGTGTTTGGCTATACTCTTGTACTACTATGCACTATCCGTATGGACTTTGTCAGCTTGGCTCCAGGCAATGTTTTTTTTTACCTGCATTACATTGCAACGCAATTCAATTGTTTGTGTTGATACGTTTTATTGCGACACCTACGATTATAATCACGTCTCAGATGTAGAAAAGCGGCACCCATGTCAGTGTAATGGGCACTACCCACCTTATAGATGGCTAACGGCCTCTGTTGTTGTTACGCATATACTATATCCGACACACGTTATGGTTGAGTCATACGGTGAATATTTCTCCATTTTCATTAATTGATCGAGCTGAATCACTGTGACTCCCTGCTCCCTGCTTCACGCCGATTTGTCAACGGCAATCTCATCATTCATCCGTTTACTTGACTTAGTTTGCGTCTCTTTGCAGATAATCCTGATCTTTACCTGCCTCATAGCCTTCGCCGTTGGACGTTCCAAGCCGTGGTGAGCGGTACCCTCTCTGTGGATACCTTCTTTTTCATGTCGTGAGTACATCCCCAACACCGAGTATACCTTTCTTCATGTCCTACGCACTTAGTTTCAAACTTGTTGTTGTCCTTTGCGTGCTGCCATTAGTTGCAATTGCTTCGCTGCGTTCAGCCCGGTTAATCAAATCTATTTCTAACCTCCAGCTTTGATGAACCCCTTTGTATTAATTCGGAACGCAACGATACTGCTGGGGATGTTAAGAAGGTAGAAGAAGTGCAGAACTTGGAAGAAGGTCATATATCTGTTTTGAAAAATGTAGCGTATTCGTCTTACAAAAGTTTGGCAGGTGGGCACAAAGAAGTGAAAGCCATGGCGCCGCATGTTCGACTGCCGTGCCTTTGCAAAAATGCTTTCTCACTACTGATATGAGAAGGAAGTAGACACTTACCCTACTGGATCTATTACCTTTTCATCGTATGGGCACTCATTATTCCCAGGTAGTATTTCTAGCTGTACACTCCGATGAGTTGGTTCACCAGCAATGCACTTGATATGCCTTGTCCAAGGTATGCAGTTAGGAATGTAAAGACGATTTGGTGCGTCACCACAGAGGGTTCGTTATCACACAACTTGCGAACTTCAGTATCCTTTCAGCACTTCGCCCAATAAACCTTGACTTATTTTGGTTGATCATTTGTGCGCCATTCTCTACATTACTTCGGCACTTTATTCCGATACTTTTTTGCTATTGTTGACGGCATCCGGTTTCGAATTTGCCTGTCACTGTGATCAGTCACAGGACGTCTGCGCCTACAGAGGGACCATGGTTGACTTGCGCTGCATCACCCACAGCTCCAACCGCGGCCCATATCTAGTGTAAATTCAAAGGAATAAGACCGGGAGGCATGTGGATGGGAACCACGTTTCATCAACGGAGCCGGCCCACACTCCTTCACAGACAAACACAAGCACGCTGTATTTGGGAGTCGAGCGCACACAACGCGGCGGCTGGGCCGTGCTATCCAACCCTAGTAACCCCACTCATACAGATTAAGATAGTAAGGTAGCTTAATGTAACCTGTGATGTAACCACTCCAACCAAACTCTCAATTACAAGACAGTTATGCCTTGTCAACAACACTCGTCACAATCGATTATCATGCAGAGAGGAAGCAGTATCGGCGAGATAGCTACGTTGTTGCTTCCACTGACCCGGCATCATAATCGGTCCTGGATAAATAAACATCAGACACACTTTAAACAAACAATCTAACTAGACGGCAACAAACATGCCACAGATGTCGGTTTTAAGCATTATTCTGCGAAGTATTGATCTCAACACACAGTGTGTCGCGTGACCTCTAATCTCCAATGTGAGAGGGTCCAACAACATTTAATCTAGTAGCCTTCGACATCACTTCCAACAGCTAATGGGCGCAATACGATGATTGCAGAAACAACACCCACCGCATGAGTACACCACGGTTAGATAGGCTTCATCATACACCGAAGACAACCTTTTATAGCCTATCACTTGTTTATACGACTTTCGATTATTCTCATTATCTTCTTAAAATAATGTAACTCTATGTCGGGTAACTTCCCAGTAGTCGATGAATATTACCCGGATCATTGAATTCTGATCTTGCTAGAATTCGCCCCAACTTTTATTTGCGCTGACAGGATCGAACTTCTCTCACACTAACTCATCCGCTCGGGAATAGTTAATTCGTACTGTTTCCCCATTGCTCACTGAGGCTTGTCTGTTGTGCGGAATATTGTCTCTACCTCAAACTTCAGTCTTTTTCAGTTCAGTTTAACACCTATGGTCCGCAAATCGAAGTGCAGTGAATTCAGTTACCACGACACGTTTGTCAGGACAATAATAAAGAACAGCGTTCTGAAACAGGTTGAACGCAAAGATAATACAGCGGAAAGAGAATCACCTCCAAACTTGATCACCACTCTAATTTGTTCGCTTTTCTCTCCACTAATTGTACGTTTGCTATGTAGACCTTATGCATGTGGACCTCTGTATGCTGACTACCTCTACGTTGACCATTTTGGTCCACTCAAGGGGGTTTTATTGCAATTAACAAATATGTAAAATTAGTCGGGGTGAAATATTAACAGCTGGACGCAAGACAATGAACGCAAGAGCGCCACTGACCCCACGCGTGTTATCGTGCTTCAGAAGCAATAACGCGTTCATTGTGCGAAGCTTTTGTCCCATTAACGCTTCTGCTGGTGATAGCTGGTTGGGGACATGGGGATTCGGTGTCGTCCTTTACATAAGTAGAAACGCACCCAATATCTCCTGTATGGGTTCCTTCTCCCCTCATTATTAGCAAAGCTCGTTTCAAGGTATCGTCAGATCGTTCTGCCTGTCCGTTAGATTGTGAATTGAACTGTTGCGAGCGTACAGGGATACTGCCATTCTGAGGACAGTACTCGGCGAAACAGGAAAAAGTGAACTGTGATCCGTTTTCTGTGACTAGCATGTGTCGCGCCCCATGATGGCTGCAAAGCTTCCTCAGTACATTGATCGTTACGTCGCCGGTCACATGCTCCACGCAGAATACCTCGGGCCATTTACTGAAAGCGTCAACAACGACCCAATAGTGCTGCACATTTACCGGACCAAATAAATCTGCTTGCACACGCTCCCACGGCTTCATTTTCAAAGGTCAGGAGGATTATTTCGCTTTTATAGCGCCTTACTGGCAAGTGCACATCTTTGACATGACTTTGCCATGTGTTCCAGTTCCGAGATGATATTCGGCCAGTAAACGAAACTTCGAGCAATCGTTTTTATCTTGCCAGTACCCAGTTGGCCTCGACGGAACTGCTGTAGAACCCTGCAGCGAAGCTCCGAGGGGATGACAACTCGTTCGGCTAGCAATAGGCATCCGTTGACGGTTGACAGTTCATTCTTTCTTAGGATCAACTTATGCAGTTCATCTGTCAGATTATCCTTGGACCACTGTGTATTGTGGTACAATCAAACCTGTCCAAGGTGACCACTCAAGGGACCGACAAAAAGTGATCACCTTGGACAGGTTCATGCATAGGCGGCTCGACTCCACATGTATGACAAACTTTCAAATCGCGAACTAGATCTGTAAACCGACTGCTTCTACAGTCAGTTTCCGCTTCTAATTCAAGCAACAACAGTAGTAGTGTATACTGCGCGATATATGAATAATAAAAATGCAATAAATTTACAGTTTATCTGTCAACATTTTAAAAACTGACCTGCAAATCATCGAAATCCACAAGCTTTGGAAAAACCGTACACACACATCTCTATTGTCATAATCATTTACCACCAGATGAAAAGCATCAAGTGTAGTGGTCTGTTGCTTGGAAGTTGAAATGAAAGATGGATTTAGTTTTTCCCTCACATTCATGATACGTTTGCGCATACCAGTGTGTCCTTTATGCATTGCGTACGAGCGCAAAATATCAACAGCACCCTGTGCGTCTGTGAAAGCATACTTGTTCAGAGCCTCTGCAATATCCTGTTCCTTATCCTTGTTTGATTCACTACACACATCCTCAGTTATTAAAATTGATGTTGCAGGCAGGTCCCAGTTTATTTCTGTTGTGTTCAGGTTTAGAGATAAGAGTCAACCATATGGCTGTCAGTCAGTTGGCATCCAGACAACTTCTCTGAAAGAATATCCAAAGTAGTAAAGCTTGAAGGAGATACAGTTTGCTCATATGTCTCAAGTCCAGTTCACATTGCTGTCACAAATCTATTTCTACAGGACAAGAAAACCACACTTTATAAAACACTTAGAGATTGTTAGTTTCTCCATCACTTCCATGCGGTAGCTATCCAGAACACGACGCTCAATGATTTTACTCGTTTCTTGAACTCATTTCTGAACAAATCTTTGTGGGATCCCATGATCGTAATAAAATGCTGAAGCTGTTTTTTCCTAAACTTCCATTTAAGCACCTGAATGGCACCCTGGTAGAGGGTTTAAACTAACGCAGTGATGTTGGGTGGCAGGAACTTCAATTTGACACTAAATAGCTAGAATTTGGGATGTCAAGTGGCATTTTTCAAAGTACAGCAACAAGACGACATTTGCTAGATGCAAGCATTTTGTGTTGTCTCTTCAGTACCAGTAACAAAAACCAATGAGAAACAATAATAAATGGTGGGTGTGACCATAAAAGAAGAAACAAACTTAAGGATCAAGATGGACGAAAACGATTCGGTCTTTATGTCCACGGAAGCTTGCGACTGAGGCGTAGCTGTTTATGCCCGCACAGCGTAGACTGCATTCGGCTAATCGCTAAAGCCTCGGCGAAACAAAGAAATTCCAGTTTAGAGTGCGTGGAATAAACGAACAGCCTTTTCTTACCTATGCCTTGTCGTTGCGTAAGCCGTTGGCATCCTTCATAAGTAAACACCTTTTGATTACTGGTCACCGAATCTGGCTCGATACCGCGTTCAGAATTTTGCTGCGCCACTCTAATCCGCGGTTTCTTCGTTTCGCTGAGGCTATAGCAAGTGGCATTGTCAACTAACAGTATGATGTTGCGCATTTTTGCATCATTTTTCTGTCAAAACATTGAGACCAATCTTCGAAAATAGCTGCAGTCATCCATGCCTTTTTATTATTCTTGTAAACTACCGGTAGTTTTTTCATGTTGATGTTTCTAAAAATTCGAGGGTTGGCTGATTTCCCAATCACTAAAGCCGGTTCTCGCTCCCCCAACATGTTAGTGCACAGCATAACTGTGATACGCTCCTTGCTTCTTTTCCCACCTGCGCATTTCTCTCCTTTGACAAAAAATGTTTTATCCGACGTCGCTTTGAATAACAAACCAGTTTCATCTAAATTAAAAATGTCTTGAGCTGTGTAGCCAGAACATATTTCGGGTAATTTTGCTGTCCAGTCGGATGCAGCACACATATCTGAGTCATCGCTTTCGCCCGATTGCTTACCAAACACATCTACTGATGAAAGCATGCAGCCAACCGTTTGACGCTTTAATGTCTGGATTTTTGCAATTCTTTTGCAAAGTGCACTTCTCGTTCTCGAACTATGAGTCCAGATAATGGGATTTTTCTCCCCAGTGTTGTCTGGCACCATTTCCAACAAACTGCGTTTATGCCTTCGTTATCCGTTTTTACATCATTCTTTACAGTTTTGCTGGATTGTCCACGAAGTCATTCCAAAACTCGGCTTTCCACTTTAAAGTTAGAAAGATTTGAGTCTCTCCTACTCCGAAATTTTCCGCCAATGTTCGCGAACTATTTCCTTCTTCACTTTGTCTATTCACTGATATTCTTTTCGAATGTTAATACCTTTGGCTTTGCTGATTTGGAACTAGCCATTTTGTCCTTCGTAAGAATCTTCAAAAGGAACTATAAAAACGAACCTGTATATTATATAAGGATGTACCTCAACAGTACCCGCTCAATGCTGACAATCGACTGGTTACACAGTAAACAAATGCACACAGCAAGTGATAGTGACAGTAGTCGCGACTGTACAACGGTATCACAAAACCCAGAGTGCATGATGGGAGTTCCATGGCTTTTTGTTGTGTAACATGTCTCTATCCGATTGCTTCACTGCACAGCCTATAGCGGAATACCTGCGTTAGTTACATAGGCTGATATCCAGTGGGGTAATGCTCACTGGACAAGTCTGGTGTGAAGACAGTGTGACCCTGGGGTGAGAATAAACCAGTGGTATTGGGAGAGTTACGCTACGTGAACTGGTCATTTGCGACAGCGGAGGTATTAACAAGCTTATGGGGAATCTAATAAGGAGACACAGAATGCATGAACCTGAGCCATACTAAATCAGTGCAAGACATATGAAACGAAATCTAAGCTATCTGTGCGATAAGGTGGCAGATTTTTATGACACCTCTACTCGCATTCTCGGCCAGTCGTGTTAGTGGTGGTCGCCTTGCCTGCGCAAGGCTAGAACGCCTGGGGACCACAAAAGCGTGGTTGCGTTTGCGTTAGACAGGTGGACGTCGTAGATAGGTTAAGACCAATGAAAAAGTATTGGAAAACCGTTGGGGATATTTTTGACTGACCGCTATGGGCACGTGGTCGCCATGGCAGGTTGAGCTGTATTTGATCGCTTGTTGAAAGACTGGATTCCGGGTTTAATACATCACGCACCATTTCGAAAGTAACCGGAAGCTTTCTGAGACTCTCCATCAGCATTTGGTTCACTTCGGACTCCAAGGAAATCGCTGCGATCATTGTTTCTTCTTTCTGTGGCTGCTGATTTTTCAGTAGTCGAGAAAGCGCTTCAGTTTGGCCCATGTCTTTTGTGAGGATATGGTTCATCTCAAAGTCGGAACCGAGCAAATTAGTCGCCCAACGTTACAGCCTATTAGCTGTGTCGACGGGGATGTCTGACTTTGATCCCAAAATTGCAAGCAGCGGCTTAGGATCAGTAAGAAGTGTGAACTTCCTTCCATAAAGCATCTTGTGAAATTTCTTTACTGCGAAAAAATATCTGACCACAATTTCGTTCTCCGTGAGACAGCGATCTGGCTGCATGTGCAGTTGTCTTTTCTGAACCATCTGCGAACTTGTGGTCTAGGACTGCACCAAAGCCATAGTTCGAGGCGTCTGCGGCCACTACCATTTCCAGGGTAGGGTCGAAATGCGTCAGTAAAAGATCGGAACATAGAAATCTTTTCACCTGCTCAAATTGTCTCGGACATTCTTCGGACCAGTTCCAGGGCTTATCCTTACTCAGTAATTCATTCAGTGGACCACGTAAGCGATGCATATGCGGCAGGGACTGGCTGGAATGGCTTATGAGTCCTAGGAAAGACCTTAGTTTTGCAACATCTTTGAGCGGCAGCATCTTCTTGATAGCTTCGATGTTGGTTGAATCTGGACGTCTACCATTCCTGTCTATTATAAAACCAAAGAACGTAATTGAGTCCATTAAGAAGGTACACTTCTCGGGTCGGCGTCTGTATCCATACTCCTCAACATCTCCAAAAACTCGATCCAAGTTTTCGAATAGGTTATCAACATTGCCTCCGACAACATTGATGTCATCCAGGTATGCAGCTGTGCCATCGACGTCTGTCAACCTGTGTCCATGCTCTGTTGGAATATGGCTGTTACGGACTTTATTCCAAACGGAAGGCGGTGCTACTGATACAAGCCTCGTTGCGTATTGATGGTGAGTAATTTTCGTGAGATTTCCTGTACCTCCATCCTCGGGTATGCGTCACAAAGATCAAGTGTTTGGGAACATTTACTCCCATTCAGTCTTGCAAACAAATTACCCGGAAACAGTAAGGAATATTGAAAAGCGTTCAGTGCAACATTCAGGCCCGTCGAGAAATCGGCGCATATTCGTATTTGACCATTGGGCATTTTGGCGACCACAATAGGTGCTGCCCAGTATGAGTAGTTCACCGGGTAGAATGCGTTTTAGTGTCCTCGATCATAGCTGTATCGTGTTTCAAATTAATGATTCTCTGGGCCTCTGCAATGACATTTTGCATTGTAACAACCGGGCCTAGCTCCAGCAGCCCTATTATTCTATTCCGTATCTCGGCATCCTTAGGAGATTTCAGGCTGCACACCAAGATTAACCACTTAAATTGATCGGTAAGTTATTTTAGCTTGAATTTCTGGCACTCTCGCTTCACTGTCGCTGTCCCTTTTGCACGGCTTCAGACAATTGCACCGATTGTTGAGATGCTATGCCTGATCGCCGAACATTTTATGAGTCGGAAAACTGCTTCGTCATAACTGTAATCCTGAGCGGTCTTGGGCAATTGACCTATCTGTCGTGCTCCACAATTCTGAGTTTACGCAACAATAGTCGCACTTTTGATACATCGTCAAGATTTTGCCAGCTCTGTCCTGAAAATATCTTCAAAACGTAACCATGTATCGAGAATCAGCGGGATCAAAAACGAACTCATTGACATTGTTGACTATTGCATCGACTAAAAGCTCAGCCTTGTCGACCGCTGTAGACTGTTGCCGCGGTGTTCTTGTGAAGGTCTCGATCTTTTGCACTCATGCGACCTCGAACTGCTGCTGTTGTTGTAGAAAAATAGCTTTCAGGTCTTCTGTTGTGATAAACGTTGATTAGGTTTACGTCCGTCGCCAGAAATCTGTTGTGCCACTCTCAACCGATTCAGTCCCCTACGGAAATGCGAACACCAAGACCAGCAATGACCGAGAGTTGTTTTGTGTGAGAGCATATCTGAATAAATAGGTTGAAGACATCTACTAAATAACAACATCGGAGATGCTACTCAATATCAATTAATACAACTCAAGACGGTACAAGTTCAGGGTTTAGCTTCTTGCTAACCCCACATAGATTCGCGTTGGATCTCTGCTTGAGTTCAATCACCAAATATAGATCGATCCAAACTTGCGCCACGGCTTGAAAGCTGGCTGTAAGTCGGCTCCTCGTAGCATCTTCCTAACAATCTGTCACGTTGCCAGTGCTGGTGTTGTCACATTACCACATCTACCTGAGAGTTGATGACTAGAGAGCCACACTGGTCTGTTGCTTGCCCAAACGACTATTGTTCGCTCGCACCGGCCAGTCCGTACGTCCTTATCAATTCTACAAACCTAACTGACATACACTACTACCTTTACGCATTAGCGCAGCTGTCACTTCGAATGTAAGCGATTTATACTACTCGTCACGCAACCTTTGAGCTACTCCTGTTAACTAACATGACAGCGGCGTACGCTCGAAATTTTCAGATCTGATCACTTTACTTTGATGGGTTTCCACTGATTCCCGGACTGTTCGGGTATTGGACAACATCGCGGCACCTTCTAACCTAATTTTTCGTTTCTCTTCCCTTCACAGCGGTTTGTTGGCTTCCTACGGTTTGTTACCTCGCTTCTCAAATCATCTTGGGTGCGCAAGAAAAATCCGCTTTTGGATTTGTTACGTCTTACATCGTGTCATCCGGTGAGTACGCTTTCCGATGTGAAATGTATCTTTTTGGACTTCTTTGCGAAGATACGTGCCTCTTCATTGCAGGCTAGTTGGCCCTCACTTCAGGTCAATATCGCATCAACAGAATAAGTGGTGTGTTGGCAACATCTTCCGAGTGTGCTTTTTAAATCTGACCATTCACGTCTGATTATTGACACGGTCTTCGACGCTGTTAGTAGAAAATATGCGTACGCGAAATCATCATCATCATCATACACGTTAGCTAGAGGTGGGGAACACCTCAGCTACTGTGCCGCAATACATAGGAAAGAAGGGGGAAAATGCAACTGGTGCAAGTCGGCTGAGCTACCGGTAACGGATGGGCATCGTTCCGGTAAGCTACCAGCCGGCTACTGTGCATCAAAAAATTACTATGCAAAATTATATAAGGCTAAACAATGAGATCGTGGTTGGAGGGGGAGGCTAAGAGGGATGGGGTAGGACAAAGAAACTCACAGCACGAACGCCACTGAGATCGGCTCCTTACCATATCAGCAAGTGTGTCTAACCAAACGTGTCCATCGTCTTTTGGACCCCAACCAGGGAGCCGAGACGCTCCAACCGAGGCCAGCTCAGAAGAGAAGGCCTTCATTCCTCTGAACCAAGTCATTGATTGGCCTCCTCACCTCCTGCTCCAACCGTACCCCCGACGCGCAAACATCGCACGTCGAGGGAGTCGGTGTGCTGGCATGCGCAACACGTGGCCGAGCCATCGGAGCCTGGTGCGTGAAATGACGATGCTGAGCGGTTCATTTCCTTTTCCTGGGCCATAAACAAGGCGTCGAACACGCTCGTTGCTCACGCGGTGTTCCCACCAGATGTGAGCTAAATTACGAAGGCACCGGTGGTCGAACGTAACTAGACTCTTCAGGTCGGTTGCTTTAAGCGGCCAGGTTTCACAACCATACAGTGGGGTCGAACGTACCGCTGCATTGTACACTCTACCCTTCAGGGCAAGTGTGATGTCGCGCCGGCTCCATAAGTGGCGAAGGTTAGCAAAAGCGCCCCGAGCTTTTGCTATACTGTTCGTGATTTCATCTTCAATCCCCTGGGCGCTGATACAACTTCCCAGGTAGTTGAATTTTTTAACGACTTCTAGCTGATCCCCACCAAGGGTCAGCGTAGGATGCGGTCCAGACCAATCTTGGAGGAACGCTTTGCACTTCGAAGGTGCGAAGCAAAGCCCGAAGTGACGGACAGCTAGTGCTAATCTGTTCAGTGCCGTTTGACACGTTTGTGAGCTGTCACAGATCAGGGCAATATCATCAGCATACTCTAAATCAAGAAGTCGTTCTCTTGGGATCAGATCCACACCTTCAAAGTCGTGTCCTGTGAACACGATTTCCATGACCGTCAACAGCGAAGTTGAAGAGGAAAGGTGACAGCGGGCATCCTTGTCTCACACCGCTGGAGATATTGAAGGGCGACGACAACTTGCCGTAAGCCCTCACTCTGCCCGAAATACTTTCTTCGTGGTCTGAATCGAGCCAGTCAATATGGCTGGCTCTACTTTCTTCCACGGTCAATTTCTGCCATGTTCAGAGGCTTTTTAGAGTATCTCGACAATACTGTTCCTGAATTGTCACACCCATTATTCTGCGGCAAGATAGACATGCATCTAAGTTGCAATCACCGCAACCTCACTTTAAAGTACGGTCCACGTCTTATTGTTAATGCTAGTCCTCTCATACGATTGTAGATGCAGGCAGTCTAACTTCCCCACCGAGTATATCGGTTCCCTTTATGAGTGCTCATTACACAGCACACCACTGGCCATGCACTCGGGATGAATGGCCATCAGATTGAAAAGATAAAACCGTCATTGTGTCTGCAGTACAACCGTGGTGGTGCTTCTGTTCTCGTTCATCTCGTTTTTGACTAAGTGCAACAGAGACAGGCTGAGTGAACAGAGCCACGAACCTATCACCACAAAACGTAAGGCGTCATTTTTGGAACATCAGGTTGATTTCATCGAGAATTCAGCAATCAACCTTACTGTTCGAAAAGTTAGTGTAGTTACCAGGCAATTGATACCTAACACTGCCTTTAGCTGTCGTGTTTCTTAGGACCATGCGGTCTTTCTTCTTCCTACGGAAAGAGCACTTTTTTTACGCTACCAAACCTGCGGTTATTCCCCTGGAATTGCACTCGATTTGGAAACTAGTCACCAGCAATATGCCGGTACACAGTACCGACGCTTTGCTGCCGCGCAACCACCACCTGTCCCATGTGGACTGAGGATACTGCCAGGGTCCTACGGCTCCTACGCAAGATTGAACACGCGCCCTCAGATTATGCGGCAGTCTTGTTATCCCTCAGGCTACGGATTGTCCACTAAAATGGCCTTTTCCGGCATTTAATCGAACCAACTCTGATTAGTGACAGAATTTATCCTCACCCAAATTCCTTACAGCTGCTCACGTGTCTCCCGCCTTGTCCAACACACCCATATCTAACCTTTATTGTTTTCCCTCTCGACCATTTATTCTTTCTGTTTAGTTAATTATCATCTTCCCGAAGAGTGAGTTTGTTCCGGCGTTTCCGTACCATTCGGATTCCTAGCTTGATACGCTTCTGTTTAAATTTTGCACGCATGACAATACTGCTGCCGTTGCTACGACTGATAACGATGACGTTGGTGTCGATGCTGTGGATAATTTTGCTATCAATTACGATGATTCTGTCAATTGTACCGGGCATAATCAACTAGAGACGTTACTCGGAGTTCTCATCTCCTTTCCGAATTCTCCCTTTCTCACCGGTCGCAGTCTAACCCCAGCATACGTCTTGGTTTTGCTCCTCTACACCGGTTTATTTATCCATCTCAACGATGGACCGCTGTATCCCCAACGTGCGGATCTGTTGGATGTGCAGTACTGCAGACATCACTGGTGGGTGACCTACCTCAATAACTTCATGTACACTGACAGACAAGTGAGTTTCACACACCATTGCCATTTTTCAGCATCGTCTCACCAATATTCACACTCTCTACCATAATACTCTATGTTCGATGATGGATCTTCCTTTATTTGTGACAGCTTCTTATACCACTTGCATGCGTACTCCTTTGTTAAAACCTGTTGTTTCTTCCGTCTGAAATACACATCATACATTCGCATCACTTGTCTTCAGCTGCAGCCCTTTATGGTATTCTGAATGAATATATCTTCTGGTCCAATCACTTCGATAATTCGTCACCCTAATTGGGACCCGGCCTTTGAATCATCATCCTAAATTTGGCCGTGGAGATGATTGGGCTGCACACTTCGCAAGGCAATTTAACCAACCTGAGTTATCGCTTTCTTCTTCGGGCATTGAGTGCCCTTCTCCCTTGGCCGCCTCCTTCGATCCGCCCTCACGCGCAGAAGTTGAACGTGAGATCAGGTTGTTGAAATTGTATAAGGCCGCAGCGTCAGATAGAATTCCTCCAGCCCTCTTCAAATTCAGGGTACCTGCTCTAGTAGATGATTTACACGAGTTGCTAGTGAAACTTCGGGAGCAGGAGACTGTCCCGACAGACTGGAGCTGCTCCGTCATTGTCCCAATTTTCAAGGGAGGCTCCCGTTCGGAATGCGGCAATCATAGAGGGATCAGTCTGGTCTCAATTGCCACTAAATTGCTTGCATCTGTCATTCTCCACAGACTGATTGACACTCTTGAAAGCCAGATTCGTGAAGAGCAAGCCGGGTTTGGTCGAGATTGGGGCTGCATCGACCACATCTTCACCTTGTGTCAATTGTTGGAGTACCGCCATGTTTATTGGCGACCCACCGTTATCGTGTTTCTTGACATAGAAGGTGCCTTCGACTCAGTCGATCGATGTGCCCTTTGGGACTGTCTGCTGAGGAAAGGTGTACCTGACAAATACGTAAACATTATCAAAGCACTGTACGCGCATAGTTCGGGCATAGTGAGGGTTTATGGCAGACTGTCTCCACCCTTCAGTATCACCAGCAGTGTGAGGCAAGGTTGCCTGCTGTCACCCTTCCTCTTCAACTTCGCTTTTGATGAAGTCATGGAAACAGCGTTTGCTGGACAGACCTAGAAGTTGTGGAGCTACTTCCTGGTGAACGACTTTTTGACTTGGAGTAGACGGGCGATATTGCCCTAATCTGTGACAGTTCCCAAACATGTCAAGCAGCACTGAAATGATTATCACTGGCTTTCAATGGTTTTAGCCTATACTTTGCACCATCGAAATGCAAAGCAGTTTTTCAAGATTGGCAGGGACCCAACCCTGCGCTGACCCTTGGTGTTGACCAGCTAGAAGTCGTTCAGGAATTCAAGTACCTGGGCAGCTATATTAGCTCCTGTGGGATCGAAGATGAGGTTACGAACCGTATAGCAAAAGCTCGAGGTGCTTTTTCCAATCTCCGCCACCTGTGGCGCAGAGGCGATATTACTCTTGCTCTGAAAAGCAGAGTTTATAACGCAGCCGTCCGTTCAGCTCTCCTATATGGTTGTGAAACCTGGCCCATCAGGTCGACAGACAAAGAGAGACTTGTCACATTCGATCATCGCTGTCTTCGTAGCTTAGCTCCTATCTGGTGGGAGCACCGCATGAGCAATGAGCGTGTTCGACATCGCGTATTTGGTGCAGGGATAGCGCGTGAACCGCTCAGCACCGTCATATCACGCACCAGGTTCCGATGGCTGGGCCACGTGTTGCGCATGCCAGCACACCGACTCCGGCGACGTGCATTGTTTGCGCGTTGTGGGTGCGGTTTGAAGAGGATGAGGAGAGGCCAAGCGATGACTTGGTCGAGAGAAATGAAAACTCTCACTTCGAAGTTGGCGTCGGTTGGTGCATCGCGACTGCCTGGCTGGGGTCCTAAGGACCATGAACACGTTTGATTGGACACAATTGCTGATATGGCTAGGAGCCGGCCCCAATGGCGTTTGTGTTGTGATTTCCTTTGTCCATCCGCTCCTGCTTAGCCTCCCCCTCCAATCACGATCTTACTCCCTAGGCATAATATAATCCTTTTTACGGCACGATAGCCGCTGTTAGCTCTCTGAAACTATGTCTATCCGTTACTGGGGACTCAGCCGGCGTGCCACTGTTGTATTTTTTTCTTCTTTCTTTAGTATTGCGGCACAAAAGCTGGTATTTTCCACCTGCAGCCAAGGTGTATAATGATGATGATGATGACCCCACTGTTTCCCAAAGTCCCGCGTATTGCTCCTTATCTAGTTGGCTCGCCATTTCATTTGTATATATGAGAAGTATTGCTCAGAAGTGTCATAGTCACAGCTTACTCTGTTCTCTGCTGTCCCCACTGCTGTTGCAGTGTATGTCATGGACGTGGTATCTGGCCAACGAATTTCAGTTTTCCGTCCTTCTGGCTCCTATCTTCATTAGCCTGGTCAACTGGTGAGTTCGTAGCTTAAGCTGGTGCAATCTAAACTAAACTGTTGGTCCTGCGTTTTCTTTGTGACATGGTTTACTTCACTATTCGCTCAGGTCTTCCTCTTGTCACGTGGGTCTTATCGATGAGCAAGGGCAACATTTTGACTTCCTTGTCCGTTCGTTTGAGCGGCGTTGTAGAAACCGGAGCTTGAAAGACTGCGCTCCGTGCTCTCATGAATTTGATCTCAACATGTCTACTTACCAGTTTGAACAAACAAACCACTAACGCCTGTTCTGACATAGCAGGTTGTCTTCAACCCTATTGTGCTAGTCATTGGTATACGGCCTTCAGTTAATTCTATCAGTAAGCTAATGCCTTCGTTGGACATCTGTTTATCTTCTCAAATCTCCAGTCAATAAATCTGTGGTTGGTTAATTACAAATTCCTCTACACTGGTTCGCAGTACTCCGTCGTTGAAAGTACAGGATTCGTTCCCTTTGGAAAACCCGCTTTCATTGAGCCGCTTATGATCACGTTCAGGCATCTAAGCTTAGTACTCCGTACTCGTACAAGCTTGACCCGTTATCTCTTACATTGTACTGCAGAATTTCAAATCACCACATTCTCCACTCAGCTTTTTATGGATCTCATCAATCAGGATGGATGGCTTCCCTCATATCGACTAACCATTGAGGTAATTAAATGCTATCCGCGCGTCATCGATACTAGGCGGCTACTTTAGACTCGGGTTGCTCCAGCAGCCACGCGAGTTTGTGCTGCAATCAAGACAGATCCACAGATCGTTTGTGCCTTACTAGAGTATTATGACGTACAGAAGGCCGCCGCCATTTATGCACTTGGTTTGGCAATAAATTAAAGATAGTGTATGATCTGCTTGACTGGCTGCTTGCTATTTTTATTCCGTTCTTCAAAGGACCCATCTCTGAGGAAGCGCGACTTTTTTGACCCTATCTCCTTGACCTATAACACAAATTTCGAACATGGGCCGAGTACGTTCTGCTCAAAATATCATAATTACTCTTGCTGACTGGTTGGTAAAACGGTATTCTCAATTGCGTGTTCAACTAGTTGGATAGACTAGTGGGGCATAATCTCCTCAAGCATTACTGAGCCACTTCAGCGCTACCCCTAGTCGCAGTCTGCTGGTGGCAATGATGCTGACGCCATGACACAATTTGTGTAGCGTACAAAAACACCTCTGCTTTTCACGTCTAACATTGGACTCATTAGTGAACTAACGGTACTGCTTTGTGCCGGATCTCACCGGTATATTAAAGTAATTCATCTAAGTTACAGTTGGATTCAGGCAAACATTTCCTTTGAGAAACTCGAACCCTACAATTTAGTCCACGCAGATGAGAATGGCTAACCCATCTGATCTGCTTGAGAGTAGTTGGTTCGCCACCTCGTCAACAATAACAACAGTTCATCAGTTATTCATACTGATGCTTCGCCGTCAGCATGACCTAGCGAATGATGTACTATGAAAGGAAAATTATTCGTAACTTGGATAACGCTTTGATGCCCAAGACAGAAGCATTCAGGTTGAACGTGCTTACAACTTGTCAACAACACATGGTCTCAAACAGATAGCTATTGTGCGAAGATAATTACTTCAATAGCCAGCCAACTTGTCTGTGCTTTTCACTGCTCCACATCTTAATCAACCGTTACCCCACAGCTAAGTCGTCATCAACCGCGCGTTAAAATGTCAGTGAGGCTATGAAGACGATAAAACCTAAACCACTGGTGTTGCCTGCGGGAGTTATCCCATAGAACCTGGAGTCAAACGCAGAGTTGTTAGGTGGACTACAGCGAGATGGACCAACCGCACTCAGTTTGGTCGTCATTGCTTCCAGTCCCGCTGCCAAATCAAATGTTACACTCCTCAAGCCTTGGGCCAACCAACCTCCATCCAACAAAATAAGGCTTTCCTTGATAAACAGTGATCGGGCATACGTGACAGGCGCTCAAGCTGACACAGTTTCTTCAGCGTTAACATTCTGAGTCACTAAGCTTGCTGCAATTTCTTCTGACTCCCTGCTTTGGGCAGATGTTAAAACTACTAAGCTGCTTTTATCCAATTCCACTTCCGACACATCTGGAGTTGTGTAGACAGACGTCCACCAATTTGGATGCATTTGAGTCGCTTGCTTCTCTTACCTGGCCTCATCGAATTAATCATGAGTTGGTCTGTCTCACCGCTTTGTATTCCTTCCAGCTAATTAAACAATGATCATTATGCACTTTGTCACCTTCAGGGTTTGGAATGAACATGGTTACCACCGCTTCCGAAGATCTCTACGCTTCGCAATGTGCCTTGCACCATCACAGTTTAAACCTCTGTGCAGGGATAGGCTGCCAGTCTGTTACATTGTCCACACTCCTCACCAGACAAGCACTGAAACTCATTGATCAGCTCATACTTGCACTCGGTTCTTTTGCTTCTGACGATGTGTATCCATTGAGCTCCTGTGGCCTTTCATTGCCTCATCTAATTAGGAATACTTGATTCAATTGTTCGGACGGTGCTATGACGATCGATGACAACCAAGCGCTCACTATTTACCAAGCTCCTCGAGTTCGCTCTACCGCATCTGCAAGGCATCATTCTTATACTTTCGGAACATCACTTGTGTTAGTATGAGCCTCGCCAGTAGGTGTTTGAAAGAATGCTGATTTTCCAGTCCTCTGGAAACACACATTCCGGGTAGCTCCAGTTTTTCCAATGCACATGTTGCCTAATATCCTTCCTTAATTTTTGTATGCATTGCGCCTGGTCATAGAATTATGATCTGCCAGAATTGTTCGCTAGAAACTGCAATAATCTGAGTCGTTCTGTGATTCTTTTCTGATTGGCTGAAACTTTGGCATACCATGGCAGTTCGCGTTCGTCAGCATTATGACTGTGGGATCACGCCATAGGTTAGTGTTATGCCTCACCTTCTAAAAATGGCAGACTAAGTTCATCGCTGACTCCATAGTGTGTATTCATGTATTAGCGGTGCTTTGTCACTGAACAGCAGTGGTTCCGCTATCTGGTCTCACGGGCGCCATTTGTAACAAGACATCGGGATGTGTGACGGTAAACCTGTTGGTAACCGGATCGCGCATATCTGGCTTCTATTTTGTCAGGTGTGCGATCCGGAACTCTTTGACAACTTCGGAATTATGCGGGTGTCTGGCATTTCAACCTTATTGGCTGCTAATTATCGTAACCTGGTTTACTATAATTTACGCAAATTTAGCTGTGGTGATCACCAATCGACCTCTGCCTGTATGGCTTCACGAAAATATTCTCTTAACGCCTAGTTTTGTGACATCCTGAGGCTTTTACTTTGATGATATGCACCTGTTCATCCCTACTGCATCTTGGCTATACTGATAGCCGATTTACATAGTCTCTGTCTCTCTGGTAACTTCCAGGTTTTATATTCCAATGTAATTACCCTTCCTCGGCTTACGCAAGGATGGCTTGTTTTTCAGCCTTCTCGCATGCTCTAGCTACACGCGATCACAGTGTGCACACGTTTTTATGTGCATTACAAAGCGCAGTTCGGTCTCTCAGCCTGCGTTTTACGACCGCGTAGCGTGGAATCACGCAAATTTCCAACATCTGCAACTTCCATGACCACGATTTTTACATGTGCTTAGCAGAATCACTGAGCTATACCCACTAAATGACTTTCGTCTGGTCGGCTATCGGTCACTAACCCGTATTCCAAACCGAACGAAATACCCCACTTGAAGAGCATAGACATGTTTGAATATACTATTTGAGTCTATTTTCTTGGAACCGGCCCACACTAGAAATGTTCTAGAAGACAGGCGAATGAATCGCAAGACTAAGGTTAGCTTTTAATTATGGTTGCGTTTCTCAGTCCGTACACGCAGCGAGCAATCTGATTGCTATCTTTCGACACATCGGAGTGAATTTCTATCAACTATATGGACCACCTCACTACGATAGCGTGCATTGGCTCTGTAATCGTTTTTGCACGACTATCATACGGAAGATGTGCCGCAATTCTTATATTTTGCATCAATCATGTCTTTGCATATCACATACCTGTCAACCCTCTGCCTCAATCTGCGTCGTTCGTTTCCCATTACACCTAGTCCGGGGGAAGCCCAATGGTAATCGGTGTATGGCGTAGCAAAATAACAAGTAAAACGGCTAAAGTCAGACTGATGCGTATCGTCTATTCGCCTCATTATCCTCAAGCTCGATCACAATATTGCTCACGTACAGTTCCGTAATCGTGTGTCCCAGTTGCATTATTTCAGCTCCTTTACCAATACTACTAGTGAAACGAATGTCCAATTTGCTTGATTTCGGATTCCGAATAATGTCTCAGAGACCGTTTCGTAGTGGATGCATTCTGAGCAGATAATGCCGATCGATTTCTTCGACAAAGGTTTAGTCACATCATCTGTCTTGGCAACACTGCTCTCCAACATGAAGTTTATCTTTATGGTAGTCGAAGTTCGACCTTCGTGAAAAGCTGTTATTGTTTTTCTTCTCAAACGGACTTACAAACTCATCATTGGCATCAGCGTTACACCATGCAATCGGACTGATGCTTCTCTGCCGTAGGACCAAGGCGACCTAAGCAATAAACAATAGGTGATAACGTAAAACACTTAGGGTCAAGGCACCTACACCTTAGAAATTATTGAGAGTACCTGTAGCTCGGGGTGTGGATGAGAGGATTGTTCTGTTCTCTGAGCCGGGCATTTCTGTTGCAGACGTTTCGTTACCAAACTAGGCAACATCTTCAGTGCGGCTATGCGGTTCTGATTCACGGAGTCTCGCAAACCAATGCCAGATCCGAATGACTATTGATTGTTGCCTGCTTCGAATGTCAGCCTTCGATCGGTTCACGTGAGTCGGTCGAGTGGGCACCTCTTCTCCTTGTCGATCTGGTGCCTAATGCTGGCTTAACCTGCAGAGCTTCATAGACACTCTCCAGCTCCAGGTGT